ATCTTCTTACACCGTTCATTGTCATTGAACTGTATGGATATATTGTGATCGTTAGATGAATACAGTGACAATTCTATAAATAAGATATCCATCTACAATCGGGGAACACCAATTGTAAAATACAACGGCTGCCAAATGTTGTATGGATGTTCCTATAATAAGATGTAAGCACTCTAGCCGAATTCCTATAAAAAATATCTCTTTTTTGTGGATGGGGAACGTGACACAATAGAATGTAACTGTTCTTGTTATAAATGCATGTATATTTTTTATGACAAGTTTTGTAGCGACGCGAAACAAACTTTGATAGAGAACATGCATGGTCCCTACCATTAAATACAAAAGGATTTCTTCTTAATTATTTGAAGTTGTCAACTGCATGCAATTAATGCATGGACTACTTTTTTTTTTTTTACTTTTGCACTTCCTTCCTTCCATGTGTTAGCCCAAACCCAAAAACAGAGCAAAAAAAAAAAAAATGCAATGCATGCATACTTTATGACAAGTGTAAGTTTTAGTGACCACAAGCGAAACTTTACCATAAAATATCCAACCGTTACAAAATGTCAATTCCTTCAAAAATAGTTTTGGTGGGCTTTTGTCGTGTATAATTAATATTCCATTAATAGATATATGCATGTGAGTTAATTACATTATTGATAATTTAAATATGAGTATTAAATATATGAGAAGCTAAATATATACGTGGAAATTAGAAACCAATTTACATATATAGCAACATATTAAAAATAGATGTGGAAATTTGAAATCAATTACATATATGGCAGGATATTAGATAGGTTTATGTCTTATTGAAGAAAGTATCTTTTTTATGTAATTTTATTTGGAGTTGATGTCGGAAACTTATTAAGGTCGTGACAGTGAACTAACTAATGTACGGAATTCCGGACTTTATTTATAACACGTGTGAGCTTTTTCCTTTTATAGATTCATTTGAAGTCGGCGCAAAAATAACTTTTAGGTGGTAACATAAAATAAATTGATTTGCAGAGCTCGGATAGGTTCTTGATGCCATGCGTAAGAGCATCTTCTTACGGCGCCAAACTAATGATTAAAGGTTGTGACGTGGTCTGGCCACACTGACATCAAATGTTAGTTGATATCACGTGAGATTTCGTTTAATTTTCGTTACAACTTTGTTTTAAATTAGGCGTGAAAGTTAAATTATGTTTGGGGTAAATAAAAAATTCAAGATTGTTGTGCATAGAAAATTCAATCCAATAATACACAAATAATGTTGCAAAAAATCTAAAACGTATAAAAGTACAAAGACACATAAGAACGTTGATATAGCTACAAAAACTTATATTTTCTCTTCTCTTAACCAAGTTTCAAGAAAGCACTATATCGTAAGGAGGGTGTTGGATCTTGCCTAGTGTCTCCACTTCGACATCACCTAAGAATGTCTAACATTTAGAACGAAAACACCAATTTGAATTTTGAATGGAAAAGACACTTGTATGAGTTAAAAGTTTGGATGACAATATCTAACTCGCGAGAATGAATATCATATAACTAAGCCTATTTGCTTAGTCAAATGGCTAAAATAATATCAACATAAGTTTGGTTAAAGTCAAATGTCATTTGATCTGACGGTCCACAATATCCATTGCCAATTAATTACACAAAATGATAGTTATGAAAATTTTGAAAAATTTATTAAATGTAATTAATTATTTTCCAATTTTCCAACATTCTCTCTCACCTAACCTCTTTCTCTAAACCTATGATTTTTCATCACTTCTTTCGTGTTCTATCCATATCCGCTCCATACCCAATCAATACAAAGATTCTCCATGTTGACTGGGTTTGGACCATCGGATACCCACGATCATGGATTTCGTTGCCCTCCCTAATGATGAAGGCTCGCTCTCGTTCCTCGGTACATAGTTTATGTTGTAAAACTTGAACCTTCTAGTGACATGATGATCACTAGTCTAATGTATATGATGTAAGTAGCAATAGTGCAAACTGCTATGGTGCTTACAACACCATCTAAAAGGATCGATGTTCTTAATTACACCGTTCATTGTCATTGAAATGTGATTGATGTTTTGTGATCATTAGATAAAAACAGTGAATTTTATAACTAACTAAGATATCCATCAACGATCGAGGAACACCCATCGTAAATCCAACGGATTCCAAATGCACGTTCCTACATGTATGATGTAAGCACCCTAGCCAAATTCCTGTAAACAAATCAATTTTTTTTGGATGAGGAACGTGGCATACTAGAATGTAACTGTTATTGTTCTATATGCATGTATACTTTTTATGACGAGTTTTGTAGCGACGCGAAACAAACTTTGATAAAGAACATGCATGGTCTCCACCATTAAATGCCAAAGGATTTCTTCTTAATTATTCTAAGTTGTCAACTGCATGCAATGCATGGACTACTTTTTTTTTCCAGTTTCTTGCTTCCATTTGTCAGCCAAACCCAAAAAACAAAGCAAAACAACAAAAAAACGGTAAGTGTAACTTTTAGTGACCGCAAGCGGTAATTTACCCTACATTTTACAACCGTTACAAAATGTTGATCCCTTCAAAATAGTTTTTGGTGGGCTTTTCTCGTGTATAATTAATATTACATGAATAGATATATGCATATGAGTTCATTATTGATAATTTAAATATGAATGTTAAATATATGATAAGCAAATAAATATATACGTGGAAATTAGAAACCAATTTTACATATAAGGAAACATATTTAATATAGGATATATCTTAATATTATTTTTTTGACAAAAAAAGCATATTAAATATAAACGTGGAAATTTGAAACCAATTACATATATGGCAGGATATTAATTAGGTTTATGTCTTATGGATTATAAGACATCTTTAAGTTAAATTTCATTTGAAGTTGACACCGCAAACTTATTAGGGTTGTGACAGTGAACTAACTGATGTACGGAATTCAGGACTTTATTTGTAACACGTGTGGGCTTTTTTGCTGTTATAGATTCATTTTGAAGTCGGCACGAAAAGAATTTTTTACTTGGTAACTTAAAATAGATCGATTTGTAGAGCTCGGATTGATTTTTTATGCCACGCGTAAGAGCATCTTCTTGCGGCGCCGAACTAATGATTAAAGATTGTGGCGTGGTCTGGCCACACTGAAATCAAAAGTTAGTTGGCATCATGTGAGAGTTTGTTTAATTTCCGTTATAACTTTGTTTTAAAATTGGCGCGAAAGTTAATTTATGTTTGGGGTGAATGAAATTTTCAAGATAGTTGTGCATAGAAAATGCAATCCAATAATACACAAACAATGTCGTAGAATACCTAAAACATATAAAAGTAGACACATAAGAACGTTGATGTAGCTACAAAAACTAATATTTTTTCTTCTCTTAAGTCATAACCAAGTTTCAAGAAAGCACTATGTCGTAAGGCGGGTGTTGGGTCTTGCCTAGTGTCTCCACTTCGACATCACCTAAGAATGCCTAACCTTTAGAAGGAAAACAACAATTTGAATTTTGAATGTTAAAGCCACTTGTATGAGTTAAAAGTTTGGATGAAAATATCTAACTCGTGAAAATGAATATCATATAATGATATAACTAAGCTTATTTGCCTAGTCAAATGACTAAAGTATTATCAGCATAAGATTGGTTAAAGTCAAATATCATTCAATCTGATGGTCCACCATATCCATTACCAATTAATTACACAAAATGATAGTTTTGAAAATTTTGAAATTTCATTAAATGTAATTAATTATTTTTCAATTTTCCATTATTCTCTCTCACCTAACCTCTTTCTCTAAACCTATGATTTTCATCAATCCTTTCTTGTCTTTCTCTCTCCTAATACAGTTCTCTCTCTCTCTCTCTCTCTCTCTCTTTCTCCTCAGAGTTTCTAGTGATGGTGGCCATATCTATTACCACCCTTGTTTGATATCTTTTCTCTTGCTCCGATTCTCTCTCTCTCTTCTTCTCTGATATTCTGGTGGAGGTCATCACATTAGTCATCAATGTTTCTATAAAGTTTATCTCTTCGCCGTTTCTAACTCTCTCTCTCTCTCTCTCTCTCTCTCTCTCTCTCTCTCTCTCTCTCTCCTTTCTTCCCTTCTCATAGCTATATGTTTCTGAGTCCATCCTCTTTTAGGCATCCATTGTTGAGGTAAGCAACTCTTTCTTTTTCCTAGTGAGATTTTCAACTATCTAATCCGCCATCTGTCTTTTTGTTGGTCACTCAATATATCATCCCTAACTCGCGACTTTCTTTCTGTCGGTTATAGATATTTCAAAAAATGGATGAGTCACCACTTTATATAAGACAAAACGTTTCTAAGTCCACACCTGTCCACATCCCATCAATCTCACTTAATTGCGTTCACCTTCTCCATGTTTCTGCTCTCCTACTTAGAGAAAATGATGAAAAACTTTCTCCCTTCCGTTTTCTTTTCATTTCTCCACTATTCATGATTCCATCGTCGCCTTTGAATTTCTCTTTTCTCTCAGTCTCTCCAACGAGAAACTTCTATTCTTTTTCTGTGTGGGTTCGTCGATTGTAGTTTGAAAGTTGACTACTACCAAATTCACCACTACGACAAGAGAACAACACATTGATCGTTGCCTGAATGGGTCGCTCTTATTCTCTTGTCGTCTTCATAGCTGTATGTTTTTTGAGCCTTGTCTCTCATAGTCATCCTTTGTATAAGTGAGCAAATTTTTCTTCTTCCTAGTAAGATTTCCAACTATCAAATATGAAATATGCATTTTTGTTGGCATAGTTACGATTTTGCCTATTTTCCCTTGTTGACGAATTTCTTAATCATTGACAGAAGTTCTTACGTTGTTATCTTTTGGTTTGTTCATGATAGTTTCAATTTTGGAATTCAAACTAAGTTTTTGTCAGTTTGCTTGTTTGGGTGTAGGTTTCTGCTAGGAATTGAAGTTGATCCTTCGGATCAACCATGCTTGAAGAAATCAAGATGCCTTCAGAAAGGAGACGAATATTTTCTGATGGAGCCAAGTTTGACAGACTTAGTGGGCTTCCCGATGAAGTTCTGCACCATGTACTCTCCTTCCTTGATACCAAGTGTGTTGTTCAAAGTAGCATTTTGTCAAACAGGTGGAGATCACTCTGGAAAACGGTTCCCGTGCTCAATTTCGATGGTGAATCCTTCAACGAGCACAACTTCAAGGACCATGTGGACGAACTTCTAAAAGTCTATTTTGTCAACTCATACAGGCTTTGTCGTGTATCGATTCTCAATTGTCCTGGATTCGGAGAGAGGTCTGATATCTTTGTCGCCATCTTCCGCTCAATCTCCCTCTGCGACCATTCAATCGAGACTCTGGACTTAAAACGAGTCCAGTTTGATAATATGACATTTGGGTTGCAAAGCTCTGGTTTCAAAGTGCTTACCACTTTGACCTTGTCTGAGTGCTACTTGGATTTCTCTAGCTGGAACCAGCCGCTCAACCCGTTTGCTCGTTTTCCCATGTTGAAGAATTTGGCACTAATATCTTGCAGTTGTTCTCTTGGTGACAATCCCGAAGATGACGAGACAATGAGGTGTTTGAAAGTTGTTGGACTCCAGTTGCTTATCCTAGAAGTAGACGATGTATTTGGTTTTGATGAGATAAAAGTATTTGCACCAAATCTGAAACGGTATACTTACAAGAATCGGATTCTTGACTTTTCTCCAATGACAGAAGTCTTGGTTAATGTCCCTTCCTTAGAGCATGCCGATATCAAGTTTTTGGGATACAAGGGCTTGTATGATGAGTATAAGCAAGAGGCAAACCGACAATATGCAAACTTATTCCTTGGTATGAGTAGAGCAATGTCGCTTGTCTTCCAATTCGATACCGCCAAGGTAAGTTTCCTATAACTAGTGTAATGCGAACATGTTCATATCATTATCATATGTCATATATGTTGCAAAACATTTTCCTAATTTGTTGATCTACTGAATGTTTGTGATTACATTTGTTATGAAAGTCGTGCTCATCTCAACTTGTTTTGTTACGTGAGTTGGGTTTATTCCACCAAGACATTTGTGGAAAAATGTTAATGTTGTTCGTGTTTTTATTTTTTTCCTTGTGCTCCTGTTTTAGGAAGTCTTCGATGCTTGTGGCTTGTTAAGGGATCGACTCTCTCCTTTCAAAAGATTGAAATCCCTTAGTCTCCGTCATTCAGAACAAAAAGTCGACATACCAAACTACGTGACGCGATTCTTTTTTGGTGACTCCTCTCTCAAATATGAAAAAGGTGTGAATGTAACCAAGGTAAGTCGATGGAACTACGCTCTTCTAGGCTGACTTGATATTGAACCTCAACTACATTTATAGTTGTGTATATTGAATGCATATTTTTCATGATAATCTATGTAGAATGTAGCTCAATTTCTTTTTTTTATGCAGGTGACTACATCATTTTGACTTTCAAGTGCTTGGAAGATTTCGCAAACTGCAAGTCATATCCTCTTGTGAAATTTCTCGGAAAGTAGAAGCTCAAGAGACTTCGGTTCCTGTCTGTATTGCTTATTGGAAAATTAGGGATAGGTCTTACTACTAGACCAAACTCATATAAGTATAACTAGACAACTGAGTGGTATCTTTATGTTTGCTCTTATTGTGGACCATAATGGAAATCGAATGAATATCCCTCTATTATCTCAACGTTTTATTTTTGGAATTATGTTATGTTTCTTAATATTTTTTTTTGAATCAACAATTTGAATTTAGCGTGAAGTAGATAGGTTGTCACGTGGGATGAATCAATCAATTTATGACTTGACAAGATTAGACTTAAAATTTTATGCTTGAATAATCAATAAATAAATTTGGCGCGAAAGTTGGAAAATATAGTTTGTAATTCGACCGATCAAACTACATGCATATAGTATTGCCCAGTAACGATAACTGTAAGATTATTCCAATCATTATGAAAATAATTCAAAATTACTATGAAAAGTAATTTTGAATTATTTCCTACCATTAATCACTTTATATTTTTTACCAAAAAACGTTAAGCCAATGACATTATTGGTTAAAATTCAGACTTTAGTTACGAAAAAAAGAACATCAGTTGCAAACCTTTATTCTCAACTTATATCCAATATTATACATAGAATTCATACAATAAAACACTAAATATGTAAATTTTCGATTATAACATCAAATACTAATAGATCGTAAAATCAACAAAGATAGAACTATTTGTAATTGAAAATCTAAGCATATAATCCTACAAAGTAATAAGAAAATCACTATTTTAGCATCCAATTACTCGGACTATTGTATATATAAAAAAATTATATGGGTAGGGAGAGCAAAAAATCATAATAACTCAATCCCCATCAATATTTTGCGTGTTCTATCCATATCCGTCCAATACCTAGTCAATGCAAGGATTCTCCACATTGACTGGGTCGAGTTGATCGAATACCCACGATCATGGATTTAGTTCCCCTCTGTATTGATGAAGGCTCCCTCTCATTCCATGGTACATAGTTTATATTGTAAAGCTTGAACCTTCCAGCAACATGATCAATAGTCTAATGTATATGATGTAACACACTTTATGGTAGTATTAGTACTGCAAACTGTGTTTCTACACCGTTCATTGTCATTGAACTGTGATGGATGTTTTGTGATCATTAGATAAATACAGTGACAATTTTATAAATGAGATGTTCCATCACCGATATGAGGAGCACCAAAGGTGAAATCCAACGACTGCCAAATGTTGTATGGACGTTCCTATATGATGTAAACATCCTAGCCGAATTCTTATAAACTGTTTTCCGGCAAGAAAACTTCTGTGTTGAATTGAGATGGATTGCACCTTTGACTTCTATGGACAACGATTTTTAAGACACGGCTCACACCTCTTCAAACAAAGTTCGAACGAGGGTGTTTGATTGATGGTTTTTGGGAAGGAGATCTAAATTAAGTTACTCCTACTCCTATGGAGGTTCGGCGAGAGCTCCAAACTACGAACTACATCTATGGCTACATGATAGAGAAAAGGTAAAGGATAAACTTGACATGTGTGTCAGAGTGTTGGTTTTGGAACCCTAGTCTCTGTCGACCCCTCCTCTTATTTATAGCCCCGAGGAGGTAACCGCCATAGAAAACCGCTTGATGGATAACTGCTACAAAGAACCGCTCCTTCTTCTTCGGAAGAAAACCGCCTCTTGGATAACTCCCAAAAAGAACCGCTCCCTGCTTCCTCGGAGTGGTGGTTACTCCTTCAACCGCCTAGGTGCCTCTCTTGGAACCGTCGTGGGTTTTGGAGTGTAGCTTGCCTCGCCTGGTCTTGTTCTGAATCTCGTGCCATGCTAGTCTTTTGACGAGCATGTGGTGTCTCGCAAAAGGGGGTCGTGGTCTACTTGTCTCGCGGCCATGGACTTCTTACTCATGTCCATGGCCTTCTTGTCTTACGGCCATGGACTTCTTACTCATGTCCATGGCCCACTTGGGACTTAGTCATTACTGATATAGTGCTCCACCACCACACCCTTCTCATTCGTGTCCATGGCCACTCTTGTCAAGTGGCATGGACTTCTCAATCATGCACAAGGCCCCTCTCGTGAGGCGACATGGCCTTTCCATACTTAGTATTTTCAATCATTTCTAATACTTCTTGCTTCGCGTCATCTTGTCTCACGTCCATACCCCTTCTCGTGAAGCGGCATGGACCTCTCGTTCAAGTGGCACATGCTTCTCCTTGAAGCGGCATGTACCTCTTCCAGACTTAGTTTATTTTTCAGTCCTTAAGTCTTGATCTTGGGGCGGCATGTGCTCCTTGATTTCTAGATGGACATGGCCCTCTTCATGAGGCGGCACATGCTTCTAGATTTTAGATGGACATGGCCCTCTTCGTTGAGGCGGAATGTCACTCTCCAGACTTTGTGGCTTGGGCTTAAAATCAATATCCATAAGGCCCAACTTAAACAATATTAATTGTTATAATGGGTGTGGCCTTATAAACTCATTAATTATCTTGTAACTCACCAATGTGGTACAAGATAAATTTTATGGTGTAAACAAATGCCCCCCAACTACTTAGTGCATAAGGATTATGGACTAAGTAGTTGAAACCAACTTGACCACTTATATCCCTTCTCTAACTGGTCCTCGAGTAACAAGGCTTGTCTCTACTCACCCATGACCATAGGTTCAATAAAACTTGAAAATTTTTCCTCTAAAACAACACCATGGTACCTACGTCTTTCAAGTGGCTAGCTATGCCGCCTATGTTGTCTTCATTCATGTGTAGCAACGAGAAACCCTTGCCTTGTTGGCTTCTCGTCAACAATTCAGTGAGGCCCCTATACTTTTCTTATTTTACATGCTCAAGCTGGCCATCACTCATCTCCAACGCACGATGCCTTAGGTCGTAGTCAACATCCAAACTGGTGGCCACTTGGGACAAGACGACATAGCATGGCAAGACGCAATCTACGACTCGGTATGCCAAGCCATCACTACGACTTGGTGGTAAGATCTTCACATCAAAGTCTAATAACTTCGACTCAAAATTTCCACTTTGTTATTTTCTCTCTATTTTTTCTTATATAGCCATGATTGGATTTTATTTATTGTTAATATATATGATATTTATTTATTTAAGATAAAAAGGAGTGACAAATGTCACTGCTCTCCATCGCCTCTGGCAACAACTAATGCGCCAAAGGTGTACACCCACTGCCAAGTCCATGGACTAAAACATGCAAGCCATCCATATACCACATGCTTCTTTTCCTCCATGGAACATGATTCTCCATACATTAATTTTGAATCTTCTAGCTTACCAGTGGGTGGTATATGATAAGCATGTCTAGCCTTGGTGGCCTTGCATGTGGTCTCATGCTCATATGCTTTAGCCACATCACTTGACATGTCAAGACGACCATGGGTTTTCCTCTGCCTTGGTTTCCTCATGGTTGAGACATGCTTACTCTCCTCATGTTGTTGGAGACAATGTCCAGTCTTGAAAACTTGGCGACCACCCATGTGGCCCACTTGACTTTGTCTTTCAACCTCCAAACCTTGTTGGCTCCTACCCCTAGCACATGACCATCCTTGGTTCTTTGTGAGGCCATGTCTGGTTTGTGCGTATGATACCTTCTTATGCATGCCCCTATGTCCATCATTCATGATTGATGGCATGTAATTACTACTCATGGACATGGACTTGCCCCCCTGTCCAC